AAGTACTCCGAACCTCAAGGTGGGCAGCACACCAGCCAGTATGCCGCCTCACAACTTCGGCCGATGAAGAGCGCGTCACCTTGCCAACAAACAGGCAAGCAGGCCCATGATTTGCCCTCCCCCGGGCGCTCCCTCAGCGAGTCAGCCAAACTGTAGATATGTGAGATAGGCAGTGCCCTTATCAACAGGTAAGCCTCCAGCCCAACTGCTCGCTCCTCACCTCGCTGCTCACTCCCCTGCTACTCCTCGGTTTGTCAGATATGTGATGAATTCATACGAATCTACCGCTGGAGCATGGAAACGTACGTTGCTACCACGGCCAGCTACGAGGTAAGTCACCCTGCCCTTTGGAGCACAATAACATACGACGCACTCACACCACGGCCGAACCCCCAGACCGTCGGCTTCCACCACCTACTGAGCCAGGGAGCTACCCCGACAGCCGCCCGTCCTCGTTTGCAGGCCGCACAGACACCCCGGACCGAGCGACCTCCACCTCCATGTACCTGGCCCGTAATGGTGGTCAGGTTCGCTGGCGTGACTGTGCACTTCGTCACGGATCCCCTTCAAGTACGAGTGCCGCTGGTGTGGTGAGTCCTCCTCCCTCTCTCTCTCTCTCTCCATTCCAGCCCGCTGGCCTGCTCACTCCCACCACCCTTAGTCTTTTCCGGATGCACCTGGCGTCAACCACGTCCAGGTTCACCCAGTTTTCTTTTCAGCTTTTCCCCGCCATACACAGCGCAAGCATTCTCTTACTAGTCTCTCTTCTTACTAACCTTTCTCCAAATCCGACTTCGCCAATCGGTTCTTTACGCCAAAAAAAAGTCCCCGTAGCCTTTTGTCTCGCTCAAATCTATCGAGATTCGAGCGAGATATAGACTTTCTATTCTCGTCGAGTGCGCACTCACTTTTCTACTAACCTCCCATCCTACTATCCCCCACCTAAAACTGACCCCATATCCCAATTCGCAACTACCTAAAACCCCGATGTCGTGCCTTTCCTCCCTTGATTCCGCAAGGAATCGAGCGAGGTACGCTCTCCCTTGTTCTCTTTCCAACACCCTGCCATAGCCAGCGGCGCACGGACCTTCCTTCTTTACTCTTATTCTACTAATCTAACGTAAGAATTGACCCCGTCACTACACTCGCCATGGCCGAAAACCCCTGAGGCAACCCTTCTCCCTCCTGATTCCTTCTAGGATCGCGCGAGCTTCGCGATCTTCTGCCCGCCATCTCCTATCTCCCTCATCGCTCCGCTATTCGACCTCCGAATGTACCCTGACGCGCCCCCCGTCCGGGTTCGTTCTACACATCATTGCCACTCCGCCTTTGCTCTTTTGCCTGCCTTAGCCCCCACCCGACAGTCACCCTGCAGTGGTCCGCCCGGCTTCTACACACTGCCGCCGCTGTCGTCTCTGCCTCGTTCGCTGCAACGCAGCGCTACCTGGCTAACCCGAAGGAGGACTTCGGGAAGATCCGGCTACTAGCCGGTTCGATTAGTCTTTCGCCCCTATACCCAAGTCCGACGTTCAACAGCTCCAGCTATCCTGCGGGAAACTTTGGAGGGAACCAACTACTAGACGGTTCAATTAGTCTTTCGCCCCAATAGTCCACCAGACAGTGTGCCTCCCGTCTGTGCCGCTGCTCCGCCGCTCGGTCCGCTGCTGCGCCGCGCTGCATAAGCGCCCGTCGGACTAAGGTCCGACGTCGGACAAAGGTCCGACGTTACCACCTCCCCTTTTCCTTCACGCCGTCCGGGTTCATTCTGTCCTCCTGTTCGCTACCTGGCCTGCGGGCTGCTGCATAATGCAGCACCACCAATTCCGCCGTCCAGGCTCTCCCTGCCAAGCTCTCTCTTCGCCCTGGCTGCCGGTTTCTTCAGCCTATGGTCCGCGGGCGGCCTGCCACAACCCTTTCTTACCCCGCTCCGCTCCTACGGTGTCCACCATCACCTCGGACCCCGAACGGGCAAACTCCCGTTCAGTTAGTTGGCCGTGGACCCGCGGCCCGTTGTAAGGCCTATACGTGGGCCTTAGTGAGGAGTGCCCCGTACGACATTCGGCGCTAATTCCAATGAGAACTTTGAAGACCGAAGTGGGAGAAAAAGCTCGCCGGCGAACCGCGTGGGAACGGACGGTGCTCCTCAGCCCACGCACCAAAATAAAAATAGGATACAGGAATGCCGGCACCACCCCAAGCGCGCGAGAACCCGCAGGCCAGCCTTAAAAGGCGCGCACTCAAGGTCCTCGGCCGCCGTGACGACCATTAGATCCGGCGTCCCGTCCAAGCCAATGCCCCGCCAGGGTAGGAAAAATACGACACTAGAATAAAACTATTTTAGAAAACGCCACCATCAATCGGACATCGCCACTAACAAAACCGAGGAGGATAGCCCCACGGCCCTCAACCCCATCGGCCTTCTCCCCGACGCTCTGCTATCGCGGCATCGACGTTAGCCGGCCTCGATCCCCGAACCTTCGTAGCAGTAGTCCGATATCATAACCTATAGGGCTAAGCCCAAGCCTGAGAACAATATCCGCGGAGCGCCATATAAGCAGTGCGGCGTGGCGCTATGGGCCGACAACCGGCTGCACGGTTCCTAGTGCCCGCGCCGGTTTGGTTATACCATGCCATAATTGCCCTGCGCGCCATCCTACGACACCCCGCTTACTGCACGAAACCGCGCCGTCGTTGCCAACGCCGTTGTCGGGGCCGCTCTCTGCACGCACGCTCGACTCGGTCAAGTGTACCAATCAAAAGGAAACATCCTTAATTTTTGCTCAATCAAAAATAAATAAAATAATAAATAATAAAATAATATCACCAAGCAAAACGACTGAGGTCCGGGCTGGCTTTACGATCAACAACAGAAAAGAATCACGAGCGCCTTAAGCCTGCGCGCCCACGCACTCACTATTGCCGTCAACCACCCAGTCAAAGCAATTACTGACGCAGCCGCGCTTAGCGCGGTACACTTAAACTCTAAACCAAAACTATTTTCTGTCACTTACAAAAACCAGGGTGGATACCCTTGTAAGGGTATTCGCACCGACAACTTACCGGACCATATTAAGCGACGTCCCCGTCGCTTCGCCAAATCAGAAAGCTATAAATTCATCCACACTCAAAATGCTGACGAAAAATGAGCCAATCCGATTAGCCGACAAACACAGGGTAGAGGCCTCCATCAAAACATGCCTCCACAGCTATATGCTGCCAGGTTTCTTACCTAGGCCTCTCACCGCCAGAAAATTAGGACACTGACAACATAAGTTCCAAAGATCTTCCCAATCATCCTCTCCCTGGTTCTAGACAACCTTCAGCGTCTCGTTGGGTGTCCCTAGTCCTGGCAAAAACTAGGGACGCGGGCCTTAATCGAGACCTTTTGAAGGCACTCTCGCCTTCCTTCTCAAAATCTCTCGCAATCAAATACACATAAGTATATATGTATACTTAATATTCGCTCAGCTCTTTCTGCAGTCTAGTACAGAAAGGCTGAGTCTCTACCTTGGCCCACCACAGCCTGGCTGATCGGACCAGGACCACGGCCCACCACATTGTTATTTAACGGCAGTACCTTCGTTGGTTACACAACGATAGGTTTCCTTATGATAAACACTCAATCAGGATTTCCCTCAAAAATTTTCAACCATCATTATCCCGCGGAGTAATTTCACTGGGGCGGGCACCCCCCTTTAAACTCTTACCCCGCGGTCCCGCAGCCAGGTTGCGTCGGCTAGCAGCCATCCAATGGGGTTACGCCTCAGAGGTACTAACTTCTTTTCCGTTAGCTTGACCTTTCTTCAATATGTCTCAGAATTAGCACTAGTGGTTAGACAGGGGCGTCGCAAAACAAAATCACTGGCCCACTGCGCGATCATGCAGGGGTCTGAAGGCATTTACCAGCCCTTCCACAATAGGCATGGCATCCTTCGCACGCTCACAAACAAAATCACCGCTAGGTCCACCAGGTCGTGACCCCTGACTTGATCAGAGCCAACAGCCACCCACTCTGAGACATCTCTCGCCCTACATTCATTGCGACTTTCTCAAACATCCAAACAAAAGTGACTCTTTTCGTCAGACTGTATCACCCATCAAACAACTCGCCATGCCATAAATCAGTTTACTCACCTCTGAGGGCGAGTCTTCCAACCATAGACCATTCCCCTTTTCCAAAAATGTAAGGGGTTCTCATCATAAACAAAAACACCCCCTCTTCCAAAAATCACGAGGGGTCTCACCATAAAACCAAACTCACCCTTCTCAAAACTCGAGGGGGTCTCATCATAACACACAACATCATAAAACATCCCCTTCCCCAAAAATCCAAGGGGCTCTCATCATAAAACAAAACATCACTGAGAGACCATCTTATGGGTCCTCATCACAACTTAAACAATCAATAGTCAACATGGTAAGTTTTTTGAGCCTCCAGGGCTCATAAAAAATCCTCACAACTTTTCACAAACAGGCTGCACTCCCTCCCCTTATACTCTGCCCTATCAGCTGCCCGTGGGCAGGTCGCACAARTATACCGAGGAGTAGACWGTTTTGCTTACAATCATATTCACTGTACCTATGRCAAARTMAGATGTTTTTCACACGKTGTCCACACAAACTCATCATACATCAGAGTACAACCACACATGTGAGAGTGACAAGTGATCGTCATATATATGAATGGTCCCTGAAATAAAACCTCATCATAATATACAAAAAAAAACTCACACAAAAAATGTCTCCAAATCATAGCTCACTCAACTCAAGCCACACTAAACCCATACTGACAACAACCCCTAGAATACATGTCAGATCTGTCTGTCAAAACCTGTGCGTAGGCCACCTAAATATGTACATGCCTCATCTAAATCACCCTGAACCTCAAGACCCCAGCTCAGTAGGAACACTAGAGTTCAGATCTAGACTAATAGCAATCAACAAAAAGGTCCTCTAAGTCTAACAGGGTATCACACAGACCCTAAGCTGATGCCTCACAAGATACTCGCCCACTTACATAGACAAACCGACACTATCTCCTGAACTCCTCCTGGTTTTGCCTATATAACTGAGCCCTAAGTCCATCTGCGGACTTCTCTACTATCCTACCCTGTCTATCATACATCTTACCTCCTACCTCTGAGACCTTCCCTGCTGCCTTATCGTCAAGAAACTCGAGACAATCCAGAGCATGGTGCATGTCCCTCTTGCAGTAGAAACATAGTTGATCTACCTTCCTCTTGAACTTTTTCTTCCTAGGCTGAGGAGGTGGCGATGAAGGAGATCCTACTAAGGTACTGACAACCTCCTGCTGCTCTGATCGAGGAGTTGCGGTACTAACGACCTCCTGCTGCTCTGTCCTAGGAACCGGTCCCCTAGACCCAGATCCAGTAGTCCAAGATCCCAGTCTGCTTCTCAAATCCCCTGTCGCTGGGACGTTCTCAGGCGTGTCCAACCTCTGAGGTCTCCTCTCGAGTGTCTTTCCTGGCACTGCCGTGGGCTGCTCCTTAATCTCCTCTGGTCCATACTCAGGTGTGCCCATCCTCTGGAGCCTGCTCTCGATGGCACCCTCCGCCTCAGTCCCCATCTCTCTCTCAAGCGGCTCCTCTATCCTCTGCTCGGGTGAAAACAAACTCGCCTCCTCCTGCATGGTATGCACTGCCTCAAGGAGTACGCCCATGGATCCTTCTGCTGACCCCTGAGCCGACTCACTGCTAGATGGCGGTAGCCCCTCCTCAATCGCCAAAGGTACGACTGGGCCTGCCGCTGCCACTGGCAGCGTCGCGAGCTCAGTAGGGGCTCTAAACTTGAACGCCTCTCTCTCTGTCTGTCTCTGGGCTCTCGCCTCCTCTGGCTCCAGGATAACTCTTCCCATAGGTGGCTCCGGGCGAGGCTCTGCTGCAGATGGCTGTCCTGGTAACCCATGTCCTGGCTGCCTCTGCTCTCCCTGCCTGCTGCTCTCTAGCTTGTCCATCTTTTCCTGGGTTTGCTGCCTCAGGCTCTCAATGATAGCCGCCTGGCTGGCCACCAATGCCCTGAGTTCCTGGATTTCCACCTCCATAGCCTCCAGGCGTACTCCATGGCTTGCTTCCTTCATCTTTTTCCCTGCCAGATCGCTCTCCAATAACAAGTGCCGGTCAAAAGTGGTCTTGGCCAGTTACTTGATTTTACGATCTAACCTCTCTTCCGCCTTCTTGGCCACCCCAAACCCAGCTCTGACTGGCGATGGAAGCTCCTCTCCTCTCTGCTCTCAGAAATCCCTCCACATCTCATGGATCTCCGGGGCCCTAGCTGGCGCGCTGGGTGGCTGACCTGGGAGTGCCCCTGCTGCCTCTGATCTCTGCCTCTCCTGCTGCTCCTCCAGAAGCTCCCCCGCTGCCTCCAACCTCTGCCTCTCTTGCCATATATCGTCTATCCTCCTGGTTCTTCTCGCCCTCTTCTCCTCTGCTGTCTCTCCAGGTGGCGCTCTTTCCCTCATGCGGAGGTCGACCCTCTTTGGGATCTCTGCTTCCATCTCCTTCTCGGGCTGGTACGGCTCCTGGCGAGGCTCTGCAGGTGCTGGCTTCTCCAGGTCTGGGTGCTCCAAGGCATGAGCTACTAGGTGCCTGTCAATCAGGATCAAGGCTTCTCTCCTTACAGCTGCCCTCTCTCTCCTCCTTTCTGCCCTATCTTCTGGCGAAGGAGCCTTTCCTGATGAAGATAATGGGACCTCCTCTCTCTGCAACCTCTCCTCTGCCTGCCGGGTGCTCCCTGGTGCATCCCCGAGTTTCAAACCCATTGCTGGCGTCTGTGGGGGTGTGTCCTCTCCAACCTCTATCACTTCCTTCCCTGCACGTCTCCCCACATCGCCCAGCCCTCTCTCGCGCTGAGTATCTTGGACCTCCTTCCGTGGCACCTCCTCTCGTGACACCTCCTCTCGTGGCATCTCCTCTGCCTGCTCTCCATGCTCCTCACCCTGAGGCGACGCTCTCCACTGAGAGATATCCAGATGTGTCTCCAACTCCCTCAAAGGCCCCTCAGACACTAGCGGCTCCTCCTGTGTGTGTGTTGGCGACCTCCTCAATCCACCCTCAGTAAAACGATGAAACTCCACTGGTCGCAACCCACACTCAGGGTATGCCCCTCGCTCTTCAACCTCTGGCTCCTGCTCCGGCTCCTCTTCTCTCCTGGCTAGGGCCTTTCGTCCTCCTTGAGACGGTCTCGCCTCCCTAGGCTCAGGGTCCCTCTGCCTCTGACTCCTCTGATGCCTCTCAACTCTGGGATGAGGGGGCTCTGGCCGTCGAAAGGCCTCTCTCAGATGTGCCCTGCAGCTCTCCCAGTCCAGGGCCATGCTTCTGATTTGGCTGGCCAGTAGCCTTTCTGCCTTCCTGGTCCAGAGTGGTAGCGTCTGCATCCAATCATCTCTCGGTATACCCTGCCCCTGCATGAACCACTCAAACGCGGGGATGAAGTCCGACGCATTTCCAATCTCCAGGCGGATTGGCCTGCCATCTGGTCCCACAGGCGAGGGTCGCAACTCCTCCATCCTCAACTCCACCTCCTGCCTTGTCGTCGCCTCCCTACGAATCCTGGCAATGGGCTCCTCGAATCTGCTTGCTCCCCTCAATCTCTCAATCGCCTGAGCCATGTTCCAGCCCATACGCCTCGCATGCTCCCAGAAACTGTCCAGGAATAGCTCGATGTCCCCATCATTGTAGACCGGAGTACTCCCTCGATGATGAGGCCCATGCCGCTCATATCCTCCTGATGCGCCCAACGGCCTCTGAGGCGGCCGTGTCCCCTTCCCTCCTCTTGGCATGGGTGTCTTCGTAAAGTCAGACCTGCACAATATGCGAAGGAGACAACAGGCACACATTGGGGTAAGCAAGCAGGTGATAATCAAAGCAAGCTTAGACCAGACCACACTCATGCAGCATGCATCCTACCTAACCTACACACCCTATTACTTCTATTCTAAAGGCAGTCAGGTCATCTCTCTCTTACCTCTTCTCTCGCCACAAACTTCTTTAGTCGCGTTTTAGATACCCAATCCTTCCATTCAGTCTCATTTAGCTCCTCAATCTGATACCCTCCGAAGTCTCCGACCCGTACGACCTGGTAGGGACCTAACCACCTCTTATCGAGCTTCCTGGACCATTTCTTCTCCAGTGATGAATCGTAGAGAAGCACGACATTCCCAACTGCGAAGGGTACTTTCCTCACCCGCGCAGATTGATCCCATCGAGCCTTATTATCCATACGGCTTCTCGCCACCTGGTCAGACGCTTCCTCGATCCTTTCTTCTATCGCCCCTATCTGCCGCGCCCGAATATCGAGCAACTCTTCAAATGACAGGTTAACTTCCTGATCCTCGCGCCTCTATGTCTTAAGAAAGCTCTCGATAGGGAAGGTGGCGTGCCTTCCATACCACAGTGTCGCCGGTGCGTACTTGGTGGATCTTTTTATTGTAATGTTCTCGACAAAGAACGCCGCCCTTAGGTATCTTGGCCATTGATTAGGCCTACCTTCGGTCCACTTAGCCAGGAGACTCGTTATGGTACTATGTCCTCTCTCTACGGGAGCATTCGCCCGGGGGTGCGCGGCTGTGGTGTAGTTGGCTGCCACACCATACCTTGATAACAATTCTTGTACCTCCTGGCAGGTAAACTCTGGTCCCCTGTCCATTACGAATTCCCTGACGAAAGGATAGCGCAGGTAATACTCCTCGATGCAGCTCACCAGGACCGACCCGGTCTTTGTGTGAATAGCACGTCCGTCTACGAACCCAGACAGGTTATCGCGCGCATCGAAGATGTAGTTATAGCCCTGATCCCTAAGCGGCATAAAAAGTAGATCGAGATGCACTACGACCCCCACCTCTCGCTCTACCCTTGGATGCATCGACTCTCCTTGCCTTAAACGGGATCTTTCCTGGCAAGGTACGCAAGATCGGCAGAACTTCCCGACCATATCCATCATCCCATCCAAGTAGTATAGCTCACTTATCTTGGCATATGTGGCTTGTACCCCTCGATGCCTTCCTGCAATGCCATCGTGGAGCCCTGCTACGACGTCGATCTGACGATTCCTACCAAAGAGGACTCTCCTGGGATTCCCCACTTCTCTTCTCACGAAAAGGTGGCTGTCTCGCACTAAGTAGCGCTGCAGCATCCTCTGAGCCCTATCGCTCACATCCCTTAGCCGCCTTTCGCAGGACAGAAGAAGTCCTAGCTCTAGGTAGATCCCGTCGTACTCCTCTGCACGAAAAGCCTCCTTAATCTCTCCCTCCTCGAACTCGTCGTCCTAGCTCTCGGGCACTTCGTCCACATTTCCTGCCGGGTTCAACGAGCCTGACTGGTCAAGGCCTTTTTGTAATAACGTGTTGACGAGGAGATACGTTCCCCCCATCAGGTCCTCATGCCATTCTACCTGGCCAGGTTCTTCCTCAATCGTTCTCATATCCTCCACCAAACTATGCGAGCTGGCCAGCAATAATTCCATCATCCACTGAACATCCTTACCACCCCAAGGATCCTCTTCTTCAAAGGGTTTGAGGACTAGCTCATCCCTCCGTTCGTATCCATTTGGTGCTTGCCAGATAGGATAGCCTACACAGCAGGACACTCGCGGCGACCACTTATTTATGTGGAGACGAACGTCTTCTTCCAGATCTAGAAATCCATGAACTGGGGGCGTACTCTCCACCGCCTCCCCTTCCTGTTTATCCCAGTTGATCCAACTCAACCCGTCCGCCCGGTTTTTACAGCCAGGAATCCGTTCCAGTTCGAAATTGAACATCCAGATGTACGTCAGCCATCTGGCAACCGTCGGATCCGATGGAACGTAATTCCTTAGAGAGTAGGCTAGGGCGGTCGGATTCACCCTCAAAATAAACCTCCTGCCGAGGATGTAGTTCCGGAAGATTCGCAGACAGTGGAGGACGACAAGGGTCTCCCTCTTGAACTGAGAGTAGTTCCTCTCGGTCGTACAGAGAGTCCGACTCTCAAATCTCAAGGGCATTTTCTTTCCCTCCATGTCTGCCTGGATTAGAACTCCTCCTAAGGCAGTTGGCCCCGCATCTGTTTCGACAATGAAGGGTCGTGTTTCTGTAGCATCATAATCTGGCGTTCCTAACACGAACCCTCCTTCTCGAAATTCCTCCTTCATTCTGGCTACCACCTCTTCTTGCTCTTTAACTCAAACCCATTCCTGATCCTGACGGACTAACTTCCTCAGATGTTCAGTCTTAGCGATAAAGATCTTGACGAAAGCCCTCAAAAATCCACACGTACCAAGGAAGCTCCTGACATCAGTTATTGAGTGGAACGGAACCAGCCACTCAGTAATCTTGTCCGTCTTCTTCACATCCGGCCTTCGGCCCTTCTCGCTGCAGATGAACCCCAAAATAGTCGCTCCCCTCATACAGTGTCTGGATTTCGCCCCGCTTGCCGTGAGGTTATGCTCCTCGAGCAGGCTCAGGACTTTTTCGAGGTCCTGGAGGTGCTCCCAAACAAAGCGCCTTACCCCTGGCAAGACTTCGTCGCTCTCCTTTACTGTCGGCCCCTTCACCGCCAAATCGTCGATGTATGGCTGTGTAATATGGGGGCTGACTGACTGCATAACCCGAATCATGGCCCGTTGGACCATAGCTATCGTGTTGGTCCAACCTTGAGGGGCCACGTTCATGTGGATTAATCCTCGCGGCGTGTGCATAGCCGTCACAGGCTTATCCGGCGGGTAGACTGGAAACTGATCGTATCCTGAGTAAAGGTCTATAAGCAAAATTATAGGCCTTCCAGCACGGGATTCCGACAATGCATCCGCATTTGGCAGTCCTCCAACATCTCGCACAGTCACCGCATCGAACCTCTGCAGATCTTGCACCCATCGCAGCGTCCCGTTAGGCTTAATGAAGCAAAACCACGGGGACGCATACGGTCCACTAGAATAGTCGGCGACGTGCGTATGTATTTTGCCGTCGAGGTAATCCACCACCTTCCTTTTCTCGTCAGGATTGGGGTATCGCGCCCCTCTCATGTTCCAAGGCTCGTGTCGCACGGTGTGGATGCGGATCATAGGTATCTTGTCCACATCCAGCCTGCCACGCTCCTCATCGCTAAACGCATAGGCGCGATGCCTCCTCTTCATCAATTCCACCACCAATATCCGGTCTTGAGGCAGTAGGAAGTCGGACTCCCCTATGATCAACTCCTCCTCGTTCCCTTCGTTGATACGACACGGTCCTGCTAAAGTACTTTCCCTCATTCGCCGTATCAACCCTCGTTCCCTTTCGTAATATGCTTCCTCGTCTTCTGTAACGAGGACGGGAACCGGGCGACACTTCTTGTCTACCGTCTTGTACTCACAGATTGCGTTTGCGCTGATGCGGGGTTCCCTCCGCAACCTGGGAGCCGATATACCAATTCCTACCTTTCTGCCTCGGGGCATTCCAGAACTTGCTCCCTCAAAGCCTCGATGGCATCCGTATCTGCCATCTCATGCCCGACCACCAAGTCCATGGCCTTCCCAATATCTGACAGGCTGAGGGAAAATGTTTCCACCCTCTCTCCTGCTTCGGGCTCTGCCCGGAGCCTCCGGCGCTCTCCTTCCGATTTCTCGATCGTGAACGATCCTGGATTGGGCCGGTTCCTTATACTCCTTGGCCTGGTGTTCCTGCAGGTAATAATTCCGTAATTCCCGCAGGCATGATCGCATAAGAGAAGGATTAGAGTCCCGTCATGTTTGTTGAACATCACGGTCTCCCTCCTGCTTAGGAATGACCTCCCCAGGAGGATTCCGTGATCCACGTCCTGCATGATGAAGAAGCAAGCTCGGACCTTCACCTTTCCAACCTCGATGAGTACATTCAAGGTTGTCACACAAAAAACGGCCTTGCAGCTGGCTCCGTGCAGAATACCGCAGTCATAACGGTCTATATCTAGCCCAAATCTGATTGCGTCCGCCTCCCGAATGATGTTCATTTCGGCCCCGGTGTCCACCATTGCCGCACACTTAGAGCCCTTCACCACCAAATCCACTGTGCCGCAGGCTACACACTTCCATTCCATTTTCGTCCCCGACTCTGCTCACTCAGCCTCCTTGGGCAAAATCGTACCCAGATGGACATTGGGTACCAGGCGCCGCGACAATCTCCCCTTCAGTTCATCGCGGAGTCGCGGGGCTGACGCTAGGATTTCCTTCAGGGTCATGAGGTCATTATGCCCTTCCAGCAGCCTGTCAATTACTCTCTCTATGTCAAATCCCTCTTCCAACCGAACCACGTATTTCTTCTTTTTGGGTGGTCCGTCACGTATGACTGGCTCGGCCTCTCCCCTAGTTCCCTTTTTTCTCGCCCGCTGCTCCGTTCTCTGATCCTCTTCTCTGCGCAGCCTCTCGTCCTCGTCCTCTTCATCATCGTCGTCCTCTACTTCCACAGCCTCTTTCCTTCTCCTTGGTTCGGTTTCCCTCCTTGGAGGCACTTGGCTGGCACTGGCCTTGGCTTGATTCCTCGTTCGCGCTGCCTGTGCCAGCCGGGTCTGCGGAGTGAGGGGTGTCCCCATCATTCCCGATTGTGGGCACGACCCCACCACATTTACTCCGGGTCGCCCAGGCGCTGACTCCGGACCGGAGTCATAGAGGAACACTTTGGGGATGTTAGACCTCCATCCCTTCACTTCCTCACAGAGGTCCACCAACTTCTGATGGTACCTCCCCATCTTATCCAGCAGCTCCTCCATCTTCCCAAATAAGACGGACGGAGGCTCCATTCTTTCCTCCTCATCCTCGTCATCTGACTCGATGATCATGGGCTCTTCCGTCTTACTTCCTCCTCGTTGCCCTTGAGCCACTTCCTCATCGTTCCCCACTTCCTCTACCCCAATCGGTGGTTCCTGCTTTTCCTGCCATAACCTGAACATGGCAGGGGGTGGCGGCCCAACTGCCGCTCTTCGTTGGGCTTCAACCCTCACTCCTCCAAGCCTTCTGTCAATTGCCTCCGCAAACTGATCGTAGATATTCCCATCCATAGTGGAGAAAATCAGTCCGCTTCTCTCGTCTTCCCGTCTTGTATTACAGAACCTTATAGTGTAGCTTTGCTGGTCACAATGTTGACAGCTGGCCGTCCTCCAGTCAAAACGGGGTCTTCCATACCCCTGGCTTCCCTGATCCCCCTGGTCTTGATACCCCTCTGGCCTTGGTATCCCTAGCCTTGGTATCCCTAGCCTTGGTACCCCTGGCCTTGGTATCCCTGGCCTTGGTACCCCTGGCCTTGACCATTCCATTGCCTTCCTTTTCCGCCGCCATTCGTGCCTCGCCCCCTTCCTCCACCCCTCCCTCCGTTGCCTTGATTGCCCTGGCTCTGGTTCCCACCTCCTGCAACACTGCCCTGTGAATTGGGAGCAGGAGACGGTGGCAAGGCCACAGGCTGGGCCTGGGCCGCGGGGTAGATGGGTGGTGGCATACTCGTTTGCGGTCCGGCTACTGGCGGCGGGCTTCCCCATGGCACAATTGCATTGATCACCGGCCAGGGCCATTGTCCGTAGGAGGGCGCCCCACCTTGCGAGGGGCCCGTACTAGATGATGGAGCTTCCACATTTAAAGGGGCTGCTGCCTGGGCCTGAGGCGCCTGCGCTTTTCCTGATCCCTGTCCGCCCTGCGCCAAATTACGCACTTTGCGTTGGACCTTCGTCAGGTGCTGCGGCACCGACTCTTCATCTTTCCAGAGCTCTTCCTGAACAGCCTCCTCTATCACCGGCTCCTTTCCTTTCACTTTGACAGCCGTCACCACCCTCCTTTGCACCAGCGGCTCTGTCGCATACCCTAGCTCTCCCAACACGTCTATAACAATCCTTGTTATCCTCGGGGTCCCAGAAGCAGTCGCATCTCTTTCCTTTCTCTTCTGCCTTTGCAGGCGTACCTGACGTTGCCCCACCTGGTCCAAACACCCAACTTTCACCCCTCTGTCAATGGTGGCCCAGATGAGCTTAGTGCTACCTCCTCCATGCCTCGTCAACTCGACGGCCTCCGATGTCGTGAGTAGCCCCAGGAAGATGGCGCATTGTGCTTCCTCCGAAATCCCATGGACCTTCCGCGCTCTCTTCTTAAATTCTTGAACAAAAGTCCCTATTGTCGTAAAATCCTCTTTGTTCATCGCCTCAAGGTCTGCGGTAGTCAATAGCTCGTCTCCCAAGCGGTACTTCCTCTGCATCCCCTCCCTGAACCTCTCCCAACTACCTTGAGCCGCATCTATGACTTTCTTCACCTCCTGATGGTAGTTATGGAGGACATACTGAAGGATGCGTTGAAACTTTACAACATCCGACCGCCCAACCAAAGTTTGTTCCACCCTCTCTAGCCATTCCGAGACTCTCTCCCCACAGAAATGGAAAGTATCGACCTTTGGGATGTTGCTCGGATTCCTCTCATGTCGGTCGATGGCCGCGATGAGGTCATCGAGTGTCAGACTCTTCTTGGGAGCAACTGATGCACCGCCAGTCTCAGGCATCTTGACAGCCTCTTCTTTTCAAGTTCCCTGGCAAAAAAAAACAAGCACATCCCCTTATTCAACATTATACCTTGACCGGTCTATTCCATCCGTCCTACCTAACTCTTACTACGTACCTTTTCCCAATACTACACGTTCACCCTTCATCCCTTCCCTTACTCAGGTAGGTAAATTTCCTTACCTATACTCAATCGCTCATTATCTTTCCTCACTTTTTCGTCCTTCCTTTATGCCTTTTCTCATTCACTTCTCATACTCGGATGTCGTTCCACCAGGGACAACGGTAGGCTTTCCGTTATCCCGGGCAACGGCGCCACCTGTCGAGCGCATCGGTCCGGCACCGCACCGGGGCAGCGCGGGACCCTCCTGGCCGCGTCACGCAGGAGTTGGTTTTAAATCCTTCGTCGCAATATATACGGAGCTTCCTTAGGCCGCTCCGGCCGAGTGCGCCAGCCATACCTCTCGCGAGCCCCTATGACAGGATAGGGCCTACGCGAGGCACGACTTACCTACACCTTACGGGAGTTGTCATGTCCCTTCGGTGGGCGTATCCCAGCCGAGCTACCAGCCCACTGTACGAAAGCTAATCAGTTGCAATCGCAGAGGTGGACCAGCCGATGGCGTTTCTTGTTCGCTGTAGCATAGGGGGTACGCGCGGTAATACGCCTTTATCGAACCCCCACGCGAATCGGCATCTTGGGGGGGCTGAGGTTCCAAGCGCGACTTGTCATCGATCGACTAGGACGCATCCCACACACCACGCGCACTCCACTTTACAAATACCCATACACACAAAACAACACATATACGAAACAGCACAACACAAACAACGCGACAACGCTCTTAGCCCCTCGGTAGCCAACCCATAACTTTCCAACGCGGAAATTGAAAAGGCGTCGCGCGCGAGACTCGGTGTAAAACCGCGCGGACGCAGGGCTATTGCATATCTACTCGCAATTCAATTGTACGCAAGCAGTCGCAATGAAGGCGTACTACGTGATACCCATTCTCACGCGGTCCCCGTTAATCGCGAGGGCCTCGTTCGACACTCAAGTGTCGGCTGACACACGCCGTGAGGGTTAATCTCTCGACGCTGGACAACCACCATACGCGGTTGAAGACCACACCCTCTTCTGCACCCTGTGCAGAGGGGTTGAGTAGACAGCTTTAAGCTGTCGTGGCGGTCGAACATCAAGGGGTTTGAATTTGATGGCTGCCACGGACTATAACGTCCAACTATAAAAACTCTAAAGAGCAAAAGATAAAGAATGGGCCGAAGGTTCCCTGCCTAGTAGACAAAATCATAGCCATGGGTACCCTCCCTTTTTCGCGTGGCGTTGGTGGCCTATAGCAAGCAAAAACATTCGTCCATATTTGTAGGCCCCTTCGTAATCCCATAACCTTTCACACACTAGGGCGGCGAAACGTCGCGCGTGAGATTTTAATATAAAGTTGCACAGCCGAGGACCTACCTCATACCAACCCGCTATTCAGGCATACGCATGCAGTGGCGATGATGGTGTACTATGTAGTGCCCATAATCAAGCGGTCCCTCGTGGATCCGAGTACCGCTTATGACACTCAAGTGTCATACTCGAAGTGTCGTGAGGGCCTAACCCTTCACGACATTGGGCTGAAGGAATAGCCGTGCAGCCACCGCGGCACCTTCGGCTCTCCGCCTGAGTGTCTCGGTAGGCAAATCAAATGGGCTCTGTGCGAGGAAACCCCCCCCTCCCCTTGCAGAGCCCAGGGCTTGGGGACTCCTGGACAAGGACCTCGAATCCCGGCCCAGGACCAAACGTCCGACTGATAAAATCATCAAAAAGCAAGAAACCAAAATAGAAGGAGAGACTTCTCCTAAGCCCTTCAGCCTCGGCTTCTGAATAGGGTTTTTGGTATGAAACTCTTCAACCCATGCAAACATTCATCCCAAGTATACCTATGTATACATATATAAGGGTTAAGTATGTGACGATCACTTTTTCACAGTCTCACTGGGGTCTCTCACAATAATACGTATATGTGTGATCGCAGGCAACCAAATCCAGAATCTGATTCACAACAAATACCTGCAATCACATCAACGAACCAAATCAAGAGCCCACACACTACACGGAGTCAACCCCAACCACCTTTGACGCTCATACCCCTCGCTTTAGCCATGCAAGCCCCAAAACCTCCAATCCAACCAACCTTAATTAAATACTCAGCACCTTTGTTAAATGGTCATTCAATAAAAGTCCGGGTGAAACCTTAATAAAACACCGAAAGCACCAGGGCTAAAGCCTTTTAGGTTGAGTGTGGAGGGAGAGTTGAAATTGAGTCGTAGACCTACGAATCGGCAACCAACCTGTTATTAGTGATAACTGAAGGTGATCCTCAAGGGATCAAGCTGGATTTAACCCTAAACTTGGATCAAATGATCAAAAGGACCTGTAACACACGACAGACCAATCCCCAAGCTAAGAACATAAGTGTGTGGAGAATACAACTCCATAATACACCCTCACTCAAAATCTTCTTATAAGCTTAACTTAAGTCTACTTTTAAACCAAATGCTTAAGTGAAAGTCAGACCTACTACGGAATCTCCCCTATTCTGGGTGGATTGCCTGAATCGCCCCATGTCAAAATATAGTCTATCTCCTTTAAACTAAGAAAATTTCGGCAGTGTTTCCCGTAGGAAAAGTATCTTTCCAGAATTTATATAAGCTCAAATATAAACACCGAAATAATTTCTAAGTCTGGAAAGTTAAATTTTGATCTAACTCTTTGAATTAGTAGAAATTTGGGCAGCACTCCCTTTAGAAAAGGAGACTTTCCAGATTTATACTAAGCCAGATATAAAGCAGAAAATAATTTCTAACTCCTGGAAAAGAAAATTCAGTCAAACTCTCTGAATTAGTAGAAATTTGGGCAGCACTCCTTTTAGAAAATGAGACTTCCCAGATTTATACTAAGTCAGATATGAACTCGAACAACAGATCGAGCTCAACTTTAGACAGAATTTAACTAACTCCTTTAATTTTGTGGAAAATTTTGGCAGCACTCCATCTAGAAAAGTGTTATTCTAAAATCTATACAAGACTAAGTTCAGATTTTGAAAGTAACTTTGGCTTCCCAAAGTTCAATTTTGTCTAACTCCCCGAATTAGTAAAAAATTGGGCAGCACTCCCTTTAGAAAAGGAGACTTCCCAGATTTTAACTAAGCCAGATATATGGAAAGGACAAGTTGAACTCTAACAAGTCAAAAGTTGACTAACTTCATGGATTTGTAGAAATTTCAGCAGCGCTTCCCGTAGAAAAAGTAGCTTGCCAAGATTTATACAAAGCCAAGTATAAAAAAAAATCTCAGAAAATGCAGGAATTGACCTAAGTAAAAAAAGTTACTACAGAAAATGCAGGAATTGACACTAAATCCTATGGCTCTAGCGCGTGGCGAGCAACTAAAGTAACTACCTATAGAACTGAAATTCAAACAAACTAGTTATCCCATCCAGTCACATGCAAACCAAACCACGAATGCAAGTACTCTCACCATCCCAAGTTCATTCCATATAAATAGTTCGCGAATCTTCAAGTTCTTGAATCCTTATACCCATCTTACATAAGACGTAGAGATGGACCATTCGCCATGGAAACAATGCCCAACTTGTCTTTATGATATACACGAACAGGTTGCACAACTACTTCTTTCTTCTCTTGGGCAGATGACTAGGCCATTCACCATGGAAACAATGCCTAGTCGCCCTGAGCTGTTTAATATCCAAAGTTTTAGTATTTCTCTGACTTTGTTAAAAAAGAAAAAATAAATATGGGCAGGGGACTGAACCATTCACAGTAGAAACAATGTTCAGTTTGCCCCAAACTATTTTCATTTATACTCTGTATTTTTCATTCTCTCTTCTTAATGATATGGCTTAACGCTGGACCATTCACAGTAGAAACAATGCCCAGCTGCCAGTTCACATGCAAATATACATAAAATACTTTCTTTTATATTTAGTTTAAATTATGTGCGTGGTTTTCAGGCTAAATCATTCACCATGGAAACAATGCTTAGCCTTAGACAAAAAATCCTCCCTTAGAATAAACAAGAATTTAAACCCCTTCAATCAGACAAACCTTCAGAGTTAACTAGGTAGCCAGACCATTCACAGTAGAAACAATGTCTGGTTCCCCAGAAAACAATTAAATAAACACAGCGATCAGGCCATTCACAGTACAAACAATGCCTGGTCCTGCAGAAAACAGCCAAATAAGCATAGCCATAAGCCATTCACAGTAGAAACAATGCTCAGGCTTTGGTTGACCCGGTCAACGCATGCAGTTTACCTTCCTCCCATCTTCCCCTAGTTCATCCTGAGTCTGCTTTCAATCATAACAAAGTAGAAACTTAGGCTTCACTCTCACACATTCTTTCCAGCTAGTCTGATTAGGTCCTGAAGAGAAAACAAAACCCATAGGGACAATCGCATGCATACAATAGTCATACTGCAGGGGGATAGGCAAACATGGGTGATAGTGGGTCATATAGATGAAAGATAGTATACCTGACGATTCCCTGCCTCAGAACTCGTCCTGAGTTCCGACAGAGCTCCCACAATCGGTGGGTGGACTCCCCACAGAGTCTTGACGCGGACCTACGGGTTGCAATCCCGCCTGCCGTCTTCCCCTCGTAACCGGCAGACTAGACTTAGATTTTGAAAGATAGAAAGAGAAGGGTTTAAGACTCCTATATATAAGAGGTGTGCTCTCAAACTCGCGCGAGAGGGCCTTGGTACCTTCAGCGCCAGAGGGGTCCGCAATGGTAGCCAAAGTGGCAGCTTGGTCAAACCGGAGCAAACCTATAGAACTCAACCCTCCTGTCGAACCCTTAATTCGCAGTAGTAACCCCCTTTCTCAAACCTAGCCGCACTACATAGCGCCCTGCAGCAGTTGGCAATAGCCAGCAGCAACTCCCAATTGTATACAACAATCCACAACGGACGTAGTAGTGGTTTGCGTGCAGTACGGAGTTGCGGTCCGTGCACCGCTAACCGCTGCCCATCATTTGTAGCGTACTGGGATATGTTAATACGCAGGGCAATGAGTGGTG